GGGGGGGGGGGGGGTCATCTGACACAAACATCCTGTTTGTAAAAACACTCAGACACCCCAATGCTCACTGCTCACCCGAGTGACAGCAAAGACAAGGTAATCAATCTACTACACCTCTGGTCCACTAAGAAGTGGTCAGGACTGGAGATCCGTCTTAAACATACTGCAATCAGTTGTGAACGATGGAGCAAAAGTAACATTGACCACTTTTAATCTCTCTCTCACTAAAGAAAGCCATTCTCTTCAGTCAGGAACTATCACTACATACAAAGCGGAAAACTACCAAGATAAATAAGGTCCCCTCCCTCTCCGTATTCAGCCTGGATCACTGAACTGCATCCCTGTTAATACCAAACCGTGAGATTCCCATGCTACCAAGACCCAAGTTGTGAAGCCTCAATCCAAATCACTCCCAGATACTTTTCCTCAGGAGGAAAATGCACCAAAATCATATGCCAAAAAATGCTGAAATCTGAATCACAAATGATAGTCTCAGAGTGAGCCAAGCAAATTAAATCAGTCAAGGTCTGGGACTTGAAATAAATTAGACCAGACCTGAAATTAAAAAGGTTGAGGCTAAGTAAGAATTTTAATAAAAAAATCACAAAAATGTGACCTAGAGCAGTGGTTCTTTAACCGTGACAGTGCTGTATGCATGGCTCACCAGGCCCAGGAGTTTACGGCCCATCCCAGGGAAAGGATAGAGCCACACCCAGGCCGGCCGCAGCGCTAACGAACGCCACGGGTCCGCTCCTGGGAGCGTGACAGCAGCGGAGGGTCAGCTGCAGTGGCATCAGAAGGGAAGTCTGAACACCTCCACCCAGAGTCCAACTCACTGCTGCCTCCAGTTAACATTTCCACAAATTTACACACCACTGACCACATGACAGCATGCTCGAGATTCAATTTAAGGTGGAAAAAAGGGTAGCAATTCAAAGGTGTCTTTTTACTCATCAGCTACAATGTGGCCCAGTGATGAATGGCTCCCTGTGAGGATGAACAGCCACGGGCTCCCAAGGTGAACCACCAACACAGGCACCCACCTCGGGGATCCACAGCGCACAGCTGACGTGGACCCACTTGGTCCCACTGCGGGTAGGCTTCATCGCTCCACCTTTCTTGGGACACAACAAACACTTGGGCTGAACCCCCAGGGCACACGTCCGGCACAGCCAACTGCCCTCTGGGACCTTGAGAATTCCGTAGCAGGCCTGTAAAGCCACAGCACATCCCCAAGGAAAAGAGAGAAAGAGAAAAAAGAGTTATTTTTACCTTGTGTGTCTACGAATTTTAATACACCTAGAAAGATTTTAACAGAAGCACCCCCAGAATAGAGGCACTCCTTTCAGGAAGAGTGCCGGGCAGCCTCACAGCAGCAGTCAGAAGGTGGGTACAAGGTACAACGTACTTACCTACCAGAGGGTGGTCCTGAAAACTACTTGAGGACAGAAAGGTTTGTAAAAGATCTGCTGTGTTGCTACAGATACCCATCTATATCAAGTTTCTAAATACTTGGGTAGTAAATCCTCAAAACTCTCTCCAGGGCTAGATGGCAGAAGGCATCCCTCTCTGATTTACTGATGTAGATGGGCTATAATAAAGTGAGGGAAAAAACACAAAGCAGTTGAGAGCCTCCCAGAACTATTACACGAGACACCAGTGAAAAGGAGAGGGAACTAAGGACCAGCCTCGCTCCCTGGGCTAAGCAAGCTCTACTGACCAGGCGCCGACACCCCACCCGCCTCCCACACACAAGTGAGCACAACAGGCACAGAAAAATGAGACATTCTAGACAAAGAGAATTTGGCCTCTTTGGCGGATATTTAAAACAAAGCCTGCTTTGCATAAGACGGTAAATTACACAAGACAGCAAAAACTGCAGGAATCAGGGCAACTTAAAAGTCATTAAGACGGTTCAAAGAAAGAAAAGGCAAACATTAAAGAAGTGAAGAAACAAAACCATGATGGTACCAGGAGCACATTCAGAGCCTTTCAAAAACACCAAACTGTTCAGAACTTTATCCTTAAATGAACTACAAGTCAGGAAGTGGAGAGACAGTAACATAGTTCCAATTCTCCAGACAGGAAAAACACAGCCACTATGCAATCTGAATATCCAGGACGCAAAAAGGAAACCACAGGATGATAGTTCAGGGAAGTTAAGTGACACTAAGATTGGAGCTTAGGAGCACTGTGTCGGTGCCATGAATGAGCCACTGTCAACACAGACTTACTGAAGAAAAAAAAAAAAAATTTTTTTTAATAGAGCTAACTGACACTATTAAGGTTTCAAATATCAGAAAGGTCTGTATCAGGCACTCTAGACAAAGTCTCATTTGAAGAGGTAATTTTTTTTTCTTTTTTTTTTTTACTGGAAAAGCAAGTCTAAGTAAAATAGAAGATTAAATAAAAGGATGCCTGAAAGACAAGTCATGAAGAACATCTCAAAAGCAAAAGGAACCACAGGAAATGCTAATAGGCAACGTGGTGTGGCTGAAAGAACAGCAGACCAGGCACGGGGCGGGGGTGTGTGTGTTGGGGGGGTGTCATCCAGAGCTCCTCGAGTTCCAGTTCCAACTCTGCCACTAACCCACAGTGGGACGCCGAACAGCCCACCCTGACTTCAGTTAACTCATTTATAAGCAGAGGGTTTGAGCAGTTTTCAAGCAGAGCCCTTTTTTTTCAAACAAGATTTGTTTGAAAAATCTTGGGGGGGTGGGGGGCGAAAGTAAAATGGCATGAAAAAAACTGAAACATCATCCAAGTAAATGGCACCAACATAAAAGCAACAATGTCAGTCACAACGCTCATGGTCTTGAAACAACAAAATCTCTCTAAGCATTCTCCATTATCCCAAGGGAAGCGCCTAGATAATTTGAAAACCCAGAGCTACAAGATGGGCTATAACGTGACTTCATAAGCAAGAGACTTGTGGTCTCCCCATCAGGATGAGATGGGACAAGGTCACCGCTGGTAAAGTCCTCAGGCAGAAGGGAAACCCAGGAAGCAGACACATTATAAAGAAAACAACAGTCAGGAACTTCACAAAGCAAACTTGATTCTTCCTGCCAAGAGGTCACCCAAGCCACTGTCCCACACAAGCCTTTAAGTTGGTTTTAAATCTCAACATCAACAGGTGAATTCAAAGCAAGTACCTCCGGAGAGCCTATTAACTAAAGAGTGTATGTGAACACATGTCCTCACAGAAATACAAATTACTTCGTTATTGCACGAAAAAAATAAATGAAAGAGGTTAAGGGTGAAGACTAAGATTCTCCCAAGCTTTTTAAATCACCCAGTGCCCAAACTTACTGAAGCAACCGCCAAATCCTCTCGACATCACGGGGGATAGGAAATAACTTGCAAGAAAAGGGGACCCTTTCCGCTTGTTCAAGGGCTCGGTTTATCTACCAACATGTTAGCAAATGTTATGTGTTGAATAGCGTCCGAAAAGTATATGTTAAAGCAAGTCCTAACCCCCCAGGTACCTCAGAATGTGACCTCATTTGGAAATAGGGTCACAGGAGATGCAGTCAGTTAAGATGAGGTCACACTGGAGTAGGGTGGGCCCTTCATCCAGAGTGACTGGAGTCCTTACAAGAAGATGGCGACGTGTGAAGACACAGATGCATGGGGAGGACACAAAGTGACGGCAAAGCCAGAGACCAGCGTCGTGCAGCTGCAAGCCAAGGAATGCCAACAACTGCCAGCAAACCACCAGGAGAGGCAAGGAAAGATTCTCCTTCCAGGTTTCAGAGGGAGCGTGGCCCTGCCGACACCCTGATTTCAGACTTCTAGTTTCCAGGTAGCAAGACAATAAACTTCTGTTCTTTTAAGCCATCCAGCTTGTGCAAGGGCAACTAACACGGCAAACTAACCGCCTTTTCAAGAGTCCCCCCGCCCCCGCCCGCCAGTGTTCTCAATAGCTATAAAGCCAGGTGTTAGAGCAGGGCAGAGGGGCTCATACAGTCTAAGTAAACCTGACTTCTGTGGATGGGAATAAAGACACTATGCGAAGAAAGAATGAGCTCCACAGAGGATCCTATTCTCCTAGTTGTAAAAGTAACAAGAAATACTTCGAACACTAAGCACCCGTCAGGAACAAAAACGATGGGCACACGTCTTTAACTCATGGACCCTGTCTGGAGGAACCACCCCAGGGGGCCTCCTTCCAGGCCCCGCTGCCCACATACCTGGTGCACACAGATGTTGCACTTGTCACAGAACACCATCTCATTGCCGTCCTCACCATCGGGCGACTGGCAGACGTCACAGACGACGTCTTCGTCGTATTCAATCCCCAGGCCTTCTTCCGTCTCTATAGCATGATTCATATTGTCGTAGCATCGCTGTTCAAATTCCTCCAGGACCCTTTCCATGGTGTATTCATCTAACTCAGGCATTCCTGGAGGGAAAACGCCACAAAACCGTTTTAATGAACCCATATTAATAAATATAATACTATTTATACTAGTAAAAATGCACAATGAATAAATGATATTATAAACAAATCTATCCTGAGTGCCCCCCAAATATTTTCTACTGGATGTCCCTCAGACCCTTCCAAGGAAGGGTCTTGAAATTCAAAGGCAGAAGGAGACTTCCACCCAACAGTTTGTTCCTTATGGTCAGGCACTGAAGATGGAGTGCCTGCTGTAAAAAGATCATTCCCAAAATGGTTCCAGGATATTAAATGCATATATTGTTAGACTGTCATTTCATTACAATATTATATATAACAACTAGCATGTAAGTGACTCCAAAACCATGACCACCTATTATGGTTTGGGCATTTTTTTTCCCAAAAACACATTCTATTCTTGCTACTTAAAATGGTGCTCTGAGAACAGATTTCACTGTGAACGCTCAAATGTTTTTTACCTGGTCTATCCCTCCTCACCCTCTGAATTTACTAAGCTGAGATGCACAGTTAGTCAGACACATGAAAGACGGAAACACAAGGGACGTCTCAAGCAAAGGAGACAGACAGCTCCTGGTGAATCAAAGAAAATGCATTCTTATGCAAGAATGGCCAAAAACAAACTCCAAGCGGTTATCATGGTATGGTTACAGCTAGTGGTGGGGATAAGACTTTTATTTTCTTCCATCTGTGGACGTATTCCAAACTTCCTACGATGAAAATACTCATGCAGAAAAAACAGCTTGTAGAAAATATTCAAACACATGTAACTGGCAAGAAACAACAGAAGTGTCCTTAGGGCCAACAACTTATATGCATTATCATAAATTTAATTAACACTTCAAGTTTTTGAAAACTTGGAGCACACATCAGCGCTGACACTGTGATAAGCCCTAAACGCACAGTCAAAAAAGCCACCTATCATCTCAAACCTTATTTCATGACGAGGTCGTTTCTGCGCGGCCAGGAGGTTTCATCTCAATTCCTCCTACCAGTTCCGAAAACACCACTGGCTTTGAGAATACAGCCCTATGCCCTATAATTAATTTTTACCATTAAAAAGGCCAATAAAAGCTAAGACAAACGCAATTCCTGGAGGGAAAACGCCACAAAACCGTTTTAATGAACCCATATTAATAAATATAATACTATTTATACTAGTAAAAATGCACAATGAATAAATGATATTATAAACAAATCTATCCTGAGTGCCCCCCAAATATTTTCTACTGGATGTCCCTCAGACCCTTCCAAGGAAGGGTCTTGAAATTCAAAGGCAGAAGGAGACTTCCACCCAACAGTTTGTTCCTTATGGTCAGGCACTGAAGATGGAGTGCCTGCTGTAAAAAGATCATTCCCAAAATGGTTCCAGGATATTAAATGCATATATTGTTAGACTGTCATTTCATTACAATATTATATATAACAACTAGCATGTAAGTGACTCCAAAACCATGACCACCTATTATGGTTTGGGCATTTTTTTTCCCAAAAACACATTCTATTCTTGCTACTTAAAATGGTGCTCTGAGAACAGATTTCACTGTGAACGCTCAAATGTTTTTTACCTGGTCTATCCCTCCTCACCCTCTGAATTTACTAAGCTGAGATGCACAGTTAGTCAGACACATGAAAGACGGAAACACAAGGGACGTCTCAAGCAAAGGAGACAGACAGCTCCTGGTGAATCAAAGAAAATGCATTCTTATGCAAGAATGGCCAAAAACAAACTCCAAGCGGTTATCATGGTATGGTTACAGCTAGTGGTGGGGATAAGACTTTTATTTTCTTCCATCTGTGGACGTATTCCAAACTTCCTACGATGAAAATACTCATGCAGAAAAAACAGCTTGTAGAAAATATTCAAACACATGTAACTGGCAAGAAACAACAGAAGTGTCCTTAGGGCCAACAACTTATATGCATTATCATAAATTTAATTAACACTTCAAGTTTTTGAAAACTTGGAGCACACATCAGCGCTGACACTGTGATAAGCCCTAAACGCACAGTCAAAAAAGCCACCTATCATCTCAAACCTTATTTCATGACGAGGTCGTTTCTGCGCGGCCAGGAGGTTTCATCTCAATTCCTCCTACCAGTTCCGAAAACACCACTGGCTTTGAGAATACAGCCCTATGCCCTATAATTAATTTTTACCATTAAAAAGGCCAATAAAAGCTAAGACAAACGCCTTTAAGCATGCGTTCAATACATGTTATACAACTGCATCGCTTATCCTGCCAAAGTATTCAGCACCGCCTTGCAGTCTGATGAGTAAGCCCAGCACTCACCACCTAGACCATCCACCGAAGCCCCCGGTCCCTGGCCGTCTGTCCCTCTGCCTTAACACAGGACACCCAGTCAGTCCAGTGCGTTACAGCTGTCTTTACAAAGTAGAATTTTATAGTCTATGAAGCTAAAACACAGTATTCAGTTCCAAGAGAGCACTGAAAACTTCCGAACAGACTCCCACCTCCTAGCCTGCTAACATCCTGGCCACTAATACCTAAAACCAAGGACCAAAAGAAAGGAAATCTACTTTATCAAAATATCAGAGTAACAGCTTTCCCAGCTCAGTCCACACCATCATTCCCATTCAAAGGCTGGGGAGCAGCACGCATGGCAGCATCTGTCACATGCCAGGCCCTGTGCTAGGCTCAGGCATCCACACGAAACAAAGTCTTAGCCCTTCAGGGCTTTGAAACCCACCATGAAACACTCCGTAAATATTTACCATGTGCTAGACTGCAAACAAACAGCCTGTGCCACCACTTCCCGACCTTGACCTACAGCACAATGCTAATTAATCCTCACGTCTCTCACAGGAAGCCCAGACTTGGTCTCCCTGACTTGCCATCACCACACTTCAGGCAACCCTTAGCAATCAGAAGTGGTGTGTGAGCCGAGATCCAAGTGTCATCCTGGTCGTGACACAAGGAGATGCAAGCAAACGAGGTCCTCTGAGCTGTACATACACAACAATGGTTGACTTGTAGAAAAGATCGCAATGGGCAGGGCACCCAGCTAAGGTAGGGCTTCACCAAAGGAAAGCCAGGACAGATCGACGGGTGAGAGGAGAAAGCACTCAGGTTTGGAAAAGGACTTAAGGGGAATCACTGAGGTGAGAACACGAGGGATGTGTTTGGAAAATGGTGAGCCTGGCTGGAGTGGCGTCTCCTGTGAGAAACTGCAGGCCACGGCTGAAGGCGGCAGCATCCGAATAGCGCCGCCGGAGGGGGAAGAAACAGAACACCGGAGCAGGAAACTGTGGACCAGACCCTTGCACGATCTCGGGGAAGCGCTGCATTTCTCTGGGCCTCAGTTCCCTTGAGGTAACCGGCGGGGTTGCGGGGTGCAGGGCAGGGCAGGACCTGGGAGCCCCCGCTTTCCTGCCCGTGGAAGACAACCCTCCTCGATCCCACCTCTCTGTCCACGAGACGCACACAGACTGAGTCCCTCTCAGCACACCTGCCGCAGCTGGACACGCGCATCTCCAACAAAGAGCCCGTGATCCCGAGACCAGACTGAGGCCGAGACGGAGCTGGCGTCGCCAGCGGTGAGGAGCCTTGCCCCCGAACCGCAGGCCTCACGCACTCGCCGCTCATCATCCGCAGCCAAGCAGCAGAGTCCCCGCCTCTCACCCATCTCCTTGAACTCCTCGTTGGTCAGTTCCAGCCACGCAGCGTCCATGTCGTTGAGATCGTAGCGACACACGCTGTCAGCCAGCGTCCGGATGTCAACATAGCCCAGCTCTGGAGGCTCGGAGCCCGACGAGACGATGTATTTCTTGGGCCTGATGAACATGAGGGACTTCTCTTCAGACACGACCCTGGTTAACAAGAAAACGAGGCAGCCAGGTTACCCTTCCTGCCACAAGAAAGGAAGTCTGCCAGGAGGCCCCAGGCGAGCTTCCACCTCCAACCCCCAAACCTTAGGTCACTGCCAGGTTCAGAGAGTTAAAACCCTAACGCCACCGCTGATAAAACAAAGTAGGAGTCGTTAAAACCCCTAAAATAGAAATAGATGCAAGTGAAAACGCTGCAGAAGTCTTCAAAATCAGCCTCTCCCACGTGGCCTCCCAGGACGCTGCCGTGCCCAGCCACCAGCTGTGACAGCAGTGTCAAGGGTTAAAGATTACATCACTTTCCACTAACCAGGCCTGCCCGCCCCTGCTGGAGGCCACCAAGCCCTGGGTTCTCAGGGACACGGAGGCGGCCAGAGCAGCCACACGGCCGGGCACACACAGCAGAAGGCCGGGAGGCCAAGGGGAGAAACCCGTCACCTCTGGTTCTAGAACTCAGGCCTTGTCCATCGCTAAGCAGTCTGAGAACCAGAGAGTCCCAGCCACAGGCGGGATGCTCCCGGCACAGCTGGGGGCCCAGGGAGGAGCGTAAGTCCCCTCCGCTCCTGCACTTGCACCCTCGCCCCCGCCCCGGCAACGCCTGGATTAGTGCTGGCCCCCGCAAAAGAAAGTCCGCGCAGGAAGAGGGCGAACCACTGCCGACGGGGAGTGAGGCGCCTGGGGAGCACCACACGGCCACCGGCCCTCCACCTGCACGTCTCAGCGTGCCCGAAGCTCGCGTTAACACCCAGCTGTCCAAAGAGGCCGTCGAGGTGTTTCCATCACCCTATGATTACCAGGGTGGCTTTACCTACAGGACACGGAGACAGGCACGGTTAAGGGAGTTATTCGTCCTACTCAGCTAAGGGCAGGGTTTTAGCTGACACTTCCATGAGCTGTGTTAGCATTTACTCGTCTTGTGCTGGGCTCGTAACCCCTGGATTGGGATCGTCAGTGCTGCACAGCTAGTCGGTGCTGTGCCCCAGAGGCAACCCTGAGGCAAGCAGACCGTGCTTCTCCTACAGAGCCCAGTGAAACACTCCGTCCACTCCACAGGATGCAGTCTGACCTGTGGAGGCATCGGAGCGGTCATTTCAGCCTGCATCTTTATAGGGACATTTGTCACAGATATCCCAGACACAATAACCAGACTCGACCACCGCCGGTGCCTGAGGGACAGGACGTGGGTGAGGGCCAAGGGGTAAGTTCAGTCCACACTCGGCAACGGTGAAAGGTCATTTCGCAAAGCAGGCAGGTGACTGACCACGCAGCGGCAGCAAAGCCGGCTGCCAGCTGAGCACAGAGGGCACTCAGCTCCCTCGCCCTGCAAGGAGCCTCAAGGCCAGTGGAGCCGGCCGGAGAGGAAACAAGCAAACCGGCCCAGCTTCACGCTGAAGCTGGTCAGCGAAGAGCCGACCCTCAAGACCCTTAAGGAGAAAAGTGGTTAGAAGTAAATCCAGAGAAAGTCCATCCGAGGAGTACTCAACAACACACTCCTCCGCTAAGCTCCCCACCCACGGGACCCGAACCTGGCAGGACTGCTCACACCCGTCCTCCCCCAGAGGTGGAGGGACCACGGCAGGACCCAACCGATGACAGGCACCTCTCTCCAGCACAGCGGCCCTCCAGAGGGAAAGGGGAAGAAGCTGTGCAAACATCCAAATGTCCCTCCCGCCCC